AGTGGTTGCGGGGACGGGGCGGGACGGGACGGGACGGGACTGGACGGGACGCGGCGCTCGGCCCCGCGGGAAGCACTTTGCTCCGGGCAGGTCGGAAGGAAGGGGTCTGGCCACGCAGGAGGGCTTTGGGGCCGCGTTTTTGCCTTCTCATTATCCTGCCACAAGGCTGCTGCCTCTTTCATTGCCCCTAAAGCGTTGGAGATGCCAATGCCAGCTGTGTCCTATGTATCCTCTTATTGCTAATTTCTGCCTTTGCTTCACCACCAAGGGCACAAAGATACTTTAGCCAAGGTTTTCCCCTGCCTTGCTGGCAGAATTGGTGTATTCCTGACCTCCTGATTAACTTCCCTTACAGAACTCCTGATTTTCCATGGCTTTTTTCCCCCAGTCCCTTCCCTTGGGTCTGTCCAGCCCCCGCACAGCCCTTAGGCTCTGCTCAGCTCCCAGCAACAGGTTCCGCACTTGAACCATGAATCCACCATTCTCCGGGAGCAATTAGTCATGTAGCAATTAGTTATACAGTAGCAATAATGTGCTCTCACTGTGGCAAATCAGAATCTGATTTTTTTTTGTTTGTTTGTTTTGTTTTTCCCTATAATCCCTTTCTAATCACTTTACACAGTGATATGATATATATTTACATTGTTTCTTATGGTAGTGTACGAGCTAAGAGCCACCTGCATTCAAGCGGGACTGGCAGCCCCGCTCCTCAAAAGGGAGAGCAAAATTCCCACGATTCCACCCCAAAAACCCCTGTCGCCCCCCACAGCAGCCCCGCGGTGCTGATGCTCGTCGGGGCGCTGGCGCTCGCTGGCCTCCTCGGCCTCGTCTTTGTGAGCGGAGGGAGCCACTTCCAGGACCCGCTGTTCTGCGGTGAGTCCCGCGCGGGGCCGGGATGCTCCGTGTGCCGGCAGCGGAGCCGGGGTCTCGCGGGACGCGGCGCCGCGCTGAGCTGCTCCCCCCGCAGTGTTCGTGGTCTTCTCCTTCACCTCTGCCGTGGACCTCGTCATCGCGCTGGAGGAGGACGGCTTCATCTCCGGCTTCATGGAGCTCTACGTGAGGGAGGTACCAAGGCCCGGCCGGCGCCGTGCGGCCCCGGGATCCCTGCTCAGCTGCAGCCTTGAGCAGCTGAGTGGCTCCATCCCTCC